AATATGCAAACATATTTCTGTGTTATTAAAGCTGGCTCTCTGTTTACATTCAGTTCACTTGTTCTTCTTCTCACAGGTGTTTTCAAACGTTGTGAAAGCCTGAGCTCACACTCCTCAACATGAACCTGACTGACTGTGATGATGCCTTCATGAACGAGAGAGCTCCACTGTACGTACAGGTATAGCAGTATGAGATTTCTTAAGCAACACTCTGAGTGTATTGGGATTTTTAATTGAAGTTCGGTGATGAATTATATTTGAATGCAACAACCTTACACTTCCAGATCTACCAGGAGCTGCTTCAGGCCCTGAGGACAACTCCTTTTACAACCGCTCTGTTCCAGACATTCTTCCTCCTCCTCCCAATCCTCACCTTCACCACCCCTCCTGCTCATCGCCAGAACTAAGAGTGCCCCACCCCATCTCAGCAACCACCACCAGTTTCCTGCCTGCAGCCACCGCCTCCATATGTAGATTCTGACAGACACTGCTGACAGCCAAACCTCCTCCTACAGCTTCTGCCAGTGCACCTGCGTCTACACACCTCTTGAAGCCAACTGCGGCTGAACCTCCACCCACAGCCTCTGTCAGCAACCTGAACCAGCACCTACACCTCTCGTACACTACTGCCATCCAAACCTCCACCTGTAACCTTTGCCAGCCGCCTGAAGACACCTCCTCCACCTGAAGATCCCCACAAAAAGCTGGGGTCAAACCTCCACCTTCCGCCTCTATAAGGAAACCTGCACAGATGTTATCCTACTGATATGGTTGGATCTAAGTGGAACAGCAACGACCAGAGAAACACTGGTAAATATGATCTTTGAGTAAACATGGGAAAATATATCTGTATAAAAATAGCATGCCTGGGCTGGGCTTCTGTTTATATTCTGTGCACTTCTTCTTCTCACAGGTGTTTCCATACGTTGTGTGAAAGACTGAGCACACACTCCTCAACATGAACCTGACTGATTGTGATGATGCCTTCATGAAACAGAAAGAGCTCCTCTTCCTCCCACTTGTACGTAGAGTATAGCAGTATGAGACATTAAGTCATGGGATTTTTGATGGAAGTTTGCTGATGAATGCTATTTTTAATGCAACACCTTTTCTTTGTGTTTTCTCCAGGCCTTGTTGGACTTCCAGATCAAGAGATGCTTCCTCCTCCCTATCGTGCACGTTCACCACCCTTCCTGCTCATTGCCAGGACTAAAAATGCCCCTCCCCATCTCTGCAACCACCAGCACTTTCTACGCATGCCGATTCATTGAAGGCCAAAGATTGCAGAGACGCTCCACCCGAGACTTCAGTGCCTTACTTTTCCAACAACGCCCCCTAATACGACGTCCAATGTGCTCTTTTAAGCCTCTGCACTGTTTTACAATAAATGAACTATTGTCTGCAACCATCTGATCAGTAATTTGAGACCAGAATAATTTGTATAAAACAGATCCTAAGGATATGATTGTTTTTGTGTGTTTAAGTTGAAGTGTGTTCCTTTGTCATGGTATATTAATTATTAGTCGCCACTTATTTAGGGTTTATATTAATACATTAATAACATTAACACATTCACTTTCTAGTAATTCATCATGTCGGAATTTCTTGAGCCAAATGTACAAAGACATCTGACACAAAATGTAATTACTGCAATTACGGCTATTTCAGCCAATACAACATTTCCACAATCTCATCTCAATATCAACAAGTATCATTGAAATGCGTATTAAATAAATAAAAAGCGTGTTGTTTCAATTTTCCAAAATAAAGTCTATTTTTCCTCTACATTTAAGGTGAATTCTAAATATGAACCAAATATACCAAGAGTCACAATATGTCAAAGCCAGACATTTAATTATATAATAGCCCACTATATATGTACAGTTGAAATAATACAGATAACATATTCACACCAATTAAACAATTAAACAAATGCTAAATAACTTCAATATGAAGTGGGGTTCAGAGATGATCAGGATATTCAAGAAACAGTTAACAAACAGAAAATGATTAAAGAATATTTTGTTAGAGATTGAAGAACATTGTTAGAGCAGCTTACGAAATAATAAGTCATGAAATGTGAAATTCAGTCATTTACACTATATAAAAGGAGAAATGATTGTGTGAAGTCAAACAGCTAATCGTAAATACAGCATGGCCCTTTTTCAATTGTTGCCACATTATATACACATCCAGTCTCTTTTAGGCAGCTTTTTGGACAGGAATAAAGACATTGTGTCCTAGCATTGCAAACTCTTATGTATAATGTCACCTATTTGTTCTGTCCCTTTCAAACATACATTGAATTTGAGATGGTCAGGTACTGGAATAGCACATACACTTTGAATAGTACAGTACGGTAAATCCAGGGAAATGTTCTTAACAGCAAATATATAAGAAACACATTGTAAACATGTATAGGAGCACATTTCAAGATTGTTAGGGCTTTAGACATTAGTCTGGTATATACAAAATATTACAACTATAACAACACATCCAAAGCAGCTCCAAATATAATTTCTGGCTGAAAGTGTCCCTCTCTATGGTTGTTGCTGGTATTGTCCCTCTGTGGCGGTGTAGAAGTCGTCCAGGACACTCTGCAGGTACTCGAAGGTGGGCCTGTCTTCAGGTTTGTGCTTCCAGCAGGACGTCATGATGGCGTAGAGCTCGTCAGGACAGCTGTCAGGCTGAGGCATCCTGTAGCCGCGCTGCACCGAGGAAATCACCTCTCCTTTGGTCATACCTGAGGAGAACACAGGCAGGCATGCAGGTGAGAATCTAGGATTGTTTAGAGCAGGGGTGTCCCAACTACGGCCCGGGGGCCAACTGCGGTCCGTTGTCCATTTTAAATTGGCCCTCAGCTAATTGTAAAAGCATAATGGAATATGGCCCACATCTGAAACTTGTGCTTTTCTTATATTGCACTTCTTAAATATATATGTATATGACACAGTAGTATTCTGTGTGTTCATGTAACCAATTTTCAAATAAATTCAGTCAATTAAAGTTGAAAACATTTTCTAACAAATCTTAGTTGATAAAAAAACGCCCAATAACTTACTTACATATCAAGTTTCAAATATACCTTTCCTCTTTCCCCTTATTATAAGCAATCTGAGGCTTCTGTTTTAAGAGATGAGTTGTCAACACTTTTTGTAACTAAATAAATGAAACCCGATGGAAAGCTGTGATGTAGGCGTTTTTTTCTCTTTAAGCATTTCAATTATCAAGAATAATTTACCTACATTTGATTGATTTTGCTAACTTATAACTTAACTTATGAGGCAATAAACCTCACCTCTGGTGGGGGGCCCAACCCTTTATATGCTTTTCTATATGTGGCCTTCAGTGAAAAAAGTTTGGACACCCCTGGTTTAGAGGGACAACACACATACTCTATATAGCCACGTAGTCATTAGCTTGAGTAAAGAATCACCAGTAGAGGACGGTAGATATTCAAAACACAATGACTCCAGTATTGTGGAAACCTCTTTTACTGTAGTCACCACGTTTGTCTTAGGCAAGGCAAGGCAAGGCAAGTTTATTTATATAGCACTTTCCAACACAAGGCAATTCAAAGTGCTTTACAAAAAATGAAAGAGATTAAGAAAATGGCATTTAAAATCAGTCATTAAAAAGAAAAGCTAATAAAATAAACATTAAAAGAAAAAATACATGGATAAAAGTTACAGTGCAATTAAACATTAAAAGAAAAATTACATGGATAAAAGTTACAGTGCAGTCTAAGATATGAATAGTTCAATTAAAAGCAGCGACAAAAAGAAAAGTCTTCAGCCTGGATTTAAAAGTAGTAAGAGTTGCAGCGGACCTGCAGGTTTCTGGGAGTTTGTTCCAGATATTTGGAGCATAATAACTGAACGCTGCTTTTCCATGTTTAGTTCTGACTCTGGGGACAGAAAGCTGACCAGTCCCTGAAGACCTGAGAGATCTGGATGGTTCATAATTTAGCAGGAGGTCAGAAATGTATTTTGGGCCTAAACCATTCAGTGCTTTATAAACCAGCAGCAGTATTTTGAAATCTATTCTTTGACACACAGGAAGCCAGTGTAAAGACTTCAGAACTGGAGTGATGTGATCCACTTTCTTAGTGTTAGTGAGGACTCGAGCAGCAGCGTTCTGAATTAGCTGCAGCTTCCTAATAGATTTTTTTAGTGAGACCTGTGAAGACACCATTGCAGTAGTCAAGTCTACTGAAGATAAAAGCATGGACAAGTTTTTCCAAATCCTGCTGTGACATTAGTCTTTTAATCCTAGATATATTCTTTAGGTGATAGTAGGCTGATTTAGTAACAGTTTTAATGTGACTGTTGAAACTCAGGTCAGAGTCCATGACTACACCTAGATTTCTGGCTTTATCTGTTGTTTTGAACATTGCACACTGAAGCTCAGCGCTAACTTTTATACGTTCTGCCTTGGCTCCAAAAAACCATTACCTCAGTTTTATCTTTGTTTAATTGGAGAAAGTTCTGACACATCCAGTCATTGATTTGTTCAATGCACTTACTCAGTGTTTGAATTGGAGCATAGTCTCCTGGTGAAATTGTTACGTACATTTGTGTGTCATCTGCATAGCTATGGTAACTTATTTTGTTGTTCTTCATTATCTGAGCCAGTGGTAGCATGTAGATGTTAAAGAGAAGAGGGCCCCAAGATGGAGCCTTGAGGAACCCCACATGTCATATTTGTCAACTCAGATGTGTATTTACCTATAGAAACAAAGTTGTTTCTGTCCTTTAAGTAGGATTCAAACCAATTCAGAACTGTTTCCGAAAGTCCCACCCAGTTCTCCAGTCGGTCTAGTAATATGCTGTGGTCAACAGTGTCAAACGCAGCACTGAGATCTAATAATACTAACACTGAAGTTCTGCCACTGTCTGTGTTTAAGTGGATGTCATTAAAGACCTTTACAAGAGCAGTCTCAGTGCTGTGGTTTGGACGAAAGCCTGACTGGAACACATCAAAACAGTTATTTAAATGCAAGAAATTACTCAACTGTTGAAAAACAACTTTTTCAATGATTTTACCTAGAAATGGGAGGTTTGATATGGGCCTGTAATTGTTCATTACTGAAGCATCTAGATTATTCTTTTTTAAGAGCGGTTTTAATGACTTGCAGTTTTCAGGGCCTGTGGAAAAATACCTGAGTGAAGAGATTTGTTTACTATATGAAGTAGATCTGAGGCCATGCAAGGCAAAACATCTTTGAAAAATCCTGTTGGAATAATATCAAGGCAGCAAGAGGAGGATTTCAGAAGTTGAATAATGTCCTCTAGGTTTTTATCATTAATCTGATGGAATTGTGTCATGATGTCTGAATTGATGTTAAGTGGAGATAGGGACACACATTTGCTGTTCCTGATGCAGAGGCACTGACTGCTTGTCTGATTTTCTGAATTTTGTCAGTGAAAAAGGAGGCAAAATCATTGCACGCCCTGGTGGATAGAAATTCAGAGGCTACTGACACTGGGGGGTTAGTTAGTCTGTTGACGGTAGCAAACAAGGCACGTGCGTTGTTTTTGTTTTTGGTAATGATGTCAGAGAAGAACGATTGTCGTGCGTTTTTCAATTCCAAATTATAAAGGCCAAGTCTCTCTTTATAGATTTCAAAGTGAACCTGGAGATTTGTTTTTCGCCACCTGCGTTCAGCTTTTCGACATTCTCTTTTTTTCTGTTTTCACGGTCATGGCCTTTCTCCATGGAGATATTTTCTTGCCAGACACTTCCTTTACCTTAGTTGGAGCAATGGCATCTATAACATTTTTAATTTTTGAATTAAAATGATCTACTAGCTCATTTACTGAGATGTTGGCAGGGGCAAGTGTGGAAGAGAAATTCTGAGTAAACATTTCCCTAGTATTTCAGTTAAATATCGCTTTGTGGTTACCTCTTTTTGAACATTTTTGTGAACAGAAATAGAGCTCTCAAAGAAAACACAGGAATGGTCAGAGAGTGCAACATCAGTCACCACAACCTTAGAGATATTCAGACCCTTTGAGATAATTAAGTCCAGAGTGTGCCCCTTATTGTGCGTGGGCTCCGTCACATGCTGAGTCAGTCCATAGCTATCAAGAACACAAAACAGTTCTTTAGCCCCTCTGTCCTGGGGGTTGTCAACATGGATGTTAAAATCACCAACAATGACTAGACGGTCAAAGTCAATACACACTATAGACAGCAGTTCAGTAAAGTCATCAAAAAAGCTTGCACAGTATTTGGGTGGTCTATAGATATTTAGGAACAGAGCTCGAGAGGAGCATTTCAGCCGAAGGGCCACATATTCAAAAGAATCAAAGTTTCCATACGATGTCTTCCTGCATTGAAGGGAATCATTGAACAGAATAGCAACTCCACCCCCTTTCTTATGCATTCTTTCCTGACTCATAAAACTAAAGTTGGGAGGGGTTGATTCGATAAGAACAGCTGCACTGTTATTTTGTTCAATCCAAGTTTCTGTTAAAAACATAAAATCGAGATTGTGCTCAGTGATTAAATCATTGATTAAAAATGTTTTTCCTGCCAAAGACCTGACATTTAATAAAGCTAGTTTAAGTTTGTTAAACACACTATCAGTCATGTTTTTTGTAACAAGCTGTGGCTGACATGGAATCACTGCTAAATTAGATACACTCACACAAACGTTTGAGCACTTCCTGTTTCTATGATTCACCGCTCTTAATCTATTACCTATCAACACAGATATCGGCAAAGCTACTGGCAGGCAGGGCCCCGACATGTCCTGGAAAGAGTTGAGAGTGCCATACGCCCTTGAGCCTGGACCCATCACATATCAGTAAGAGTTTGTTGTGTTTTGTACACACACATCCTTATCAGGCTTCGGAGACTGCAGAAGCCCCCTCGAAGGGAGGGGAGGTGGTCGACGTAGGCACGGTGATGGAGACGGGCTAGATGGTGCGGGGGGTAGAGGACATGCTGCCAGGGGGGGGAGGTGGTTGACGTAGGCGCGGTGATGAGGACAGGGGAGATGGTGCGCGTCTCCGCGGTGATTTTGGTGGGCGTCGTTGAGGAGCGGGGGTAAAGGACATGGTGCCAGCCCTGCGTATCGCCTTCGTTTGGTCTTTGAACTCCAGGAAGGAATCGGTGCCAACCCTCTGTATCTCCTTTGTGTGTTCATCGATCTCCAGGAGGGTGGGCTAGGGTGAAAGGGTGAACGGAGTATCCTCAAAGGCGTTGACAGGGGGGGGGGGGGCAGTGGAGACTCCTCCATGTGTCTCATATGGTCTCCCATAATCAGAACATTCCTCAGGCGGGTGCAGTGATAATTCTTCAGGGTTTTCTGCGTGATGTGTTGTGTCTTTCTCGTGTTTTGATTCCTCTTGCCGCTTGTCCTTGGCAGAGGGAACAGATTGATGACGCAGGCAGTTGAATATGTTAGAGATAAACAATTTCACTCCTGACTTGTTCAGGCAAACTCCATTTGCCTTGAAAAGATGTCTGCGATCCCAGAAAAAGTTAAAATTGTCAATAAAATGAACAGAATGGTCAGTACAGGCCGTTGAAAGCCAGGTGTTCAGTGCAAACAATCTGCTGAATCTCTCCACTCCTCTTCTGACTGGCGGTAGAGGGCCACTGATGAACACATCTGCATTTAGAGAGCTGGCAGTTTCCAACAAACATTTAAAGTCTTCTTTCAGCACTTCTGACTGTTGTTTCATAACATCATTTGTTCCAATGTGCAGTACCACATTCTTCACAATCGGATGTTCAGCCCCAATATGCAGGATCTTCTCAGCCAAGTCAGAGACCACATCCTTGGGAAAACAGAGTACTTTGGTGTTGTTCTTATTACACAGACCTTTTACATCTCTTACAGCAGAGTCACCCACAATCAGAGTTTCAGGCCCAGTCGTTAGCTTTCCCTCTAGCCTTTTACTTTTAGAGTAGCTATTGGTCCTTACCCTGCTGCGTGAAGAGGACAGGTTATCCAGGTCATCAGATCTCCGGTTCTCGGTCAGCGGAGCGTATCTGTTCTGGATTGGCACACTTGGTGGTTTAGGAGGATTGTTTGTAATTCTCCCTTTAGCAGCTGTCCACTGCTGTTTCCTAGTATGAATAGGGGTTGAATAGGCGCTCTTCCTGGGTGATAACAATGCAGGCCAGCCGGTCGCATCACAGATTTCGGAGCTCTGGGCTCTGCCTGTTATCCGTCCTCCCAAATCCCATGGAAGTGATTTACTCTTAGGCTTTGCACCCAGAGAGTTCCAGGGAGGACTATCACTTGTAGATGTATTACCCGGTACACAGCCCTCCTGTTCCTTGGAATCCTTGTAGCTGCTAACTAGCTGTGAGTTAGCATACCCTTCTCCATTACCTTGCAACACTGGTAAAGTCGTGTCATTCCCACGACATAGTCCATTCAATTCCACGTTAACTTCCAACCGTTGCATTTTCATTTCCAACACAGCCATCTTCTGTATAAGTTTCTGGAAGTCATCTGTAGAGAACGGAGGCATTTTGCTACCAACTAGCTTAAGCTAAATAGCAGTAGCCTACCAGGCTTTAGCTGTTGCTAGGCCACGCTATTGTAAGACTGACGTCGTCGTAAAAATGTTGAAATATGGCTGAAACCCTCATGAACTGTCCCAGTGATAAGTTAATGTCCAGGAGCCGCTGCTCGAAGTTTTCAGAGAATAAGAATAGGAAAATCAGCATAAAAAGTAAGCAGAGGCAAGAGCAAGCAGAAAAGCGTCTGCACTGTAAGAAAGATAAGGAGATAATCTTAGTCAAATTGTTCGTTATAAGTAAAGCTACGCAAGTTATTTAATGGTATTTTGTGCATTATTCAAAGATCATAACACTGTAGTTTAAAAAAAATTCAAATAATATAAGTAGTACAAATAGGCTACTTAGGTTTTTTTTTTTACCTGGGTAGGGGCATTTCCCGTATGTTATAATCTCATAGAGCAGAACTCCGAAGGACCAGATGTCTGACTTGATGGTGAAGGATCCGTAGTGTTTAGAGTTTTGAGAGGTCCTGATAATTTATTCCGGTAAATTATTCTGACCTCCTAATTGACCTTTCCGAAGATTATTGAGTCTATGTAAATTTGCTGCTTGGCTCAGATCCACCAACGTCAGCAAGATCTCACCTCTTCCTAACCCCCCCGAAGAACCAGGTTCAATTAACTGCTGTTTCAATTCAGACAACTCTTTTTTAATCTGTTTAAGCGATCCCGAAGGATTTTGATATCAGTAAATGGAGTGTGCTCCTACCTAAGTGTGTGTGGCAGGGTGCAGTCTTACCTTTGACGCAGGAGAGGAGGGCACAGGTGTCTTTTAAAAGATCCCAATCCAACAGGTGGGATTCAGTTTATTTGAAGAAAAATAGGTCCAAACTAATACAGGGTTTTTACCTTCTCTCTCACAACATTATAATCATCCTAACAAAAAACCGTGCTGTGATCATGTTCAAATGAAACTTTAATTCACAGTCTTACATTTATTACCAAAATGTTTTAATTCCAACTGCCCATTTCAGTTGTGACATTTTAAAATTCTCCCGATAGAATTTAGAGGTATTTCCTCGTAAAAAGACCGGTGACAATAAAAAGCGCATTCAACTTTTCCATTTCACCAACTCAATTCACATCAGTTTCATACCGTTTTTCCGACACAGACGGCGGATTAACACTCAAAAACCCATACCTGTCCGCCAAGAGTTCGAAGGAAGGTCCTTACAGGTCGCGGTATTTATAATTTTCAAACACTTTTTCCGACACAGACGGCGGATTAACCTTTCAAAAACACATTCCCATCCGCCAAGAGTTCGAAGGAAGGTCCTTACAGGTCGCGGTTATAATATTCACAAACACATCTTCCGACAAAGACGGCGGATTAACCTGTCAAAAACACATACCCATCCGCCAAGAGTTCGAAGGAAGGTCCTTACAGGTCGCGGTTATAATATTCACCAACACATCTCTCATCAAATCATTCCACTCAGCCAACAAATGAAAGCTTTAGCGCAAGTTCAATAAGGAAGACCTAACTCGAGTCACTCACACGTCACTCTATGGCTCCCTTCCCCCCTCATTAAATACGAGGGCGTCACCCCTCAGCAGCCAATCGCTGCACATGCTAAATGCCTTAAATACCTGCTCTTCCTCCCTGTCAGTTGTCATTGCAGATGATCACACGCAATGGTAGTTGCAATACAATACTGCTTCTCGTGAGAAAAACCGTAAGAAACAACTAGCTCAAGATGTCCAACTCGGACAATTCGGAACACGAACCTTCTCTGGAAGTCTCCGATCCCGGTTCGGCTCCCCACAGCGGCTTATCAACAGAGGAAGACTTCCTCATCGCCCGGCTCCTGCAGCAGGGCTTTCCCACAGCCCCAGGCCTCACTCTCTCTCAGCGGCGATAGCTCTCGGACCAGGTCTCCAGCGTAGCTCCCCAGTCCGGGGCAGCAGCTCCAGCCAGCTTCCCAGAGAGCAGGACGAGGCCGCAGCCGCGGAGGTAAAAAAGGGCAGGAAGTCGAGCCCTCCAGGATCCCGTCCCCCTCCAAAAAATCCACCCCTTCTCAGGCTCGCCAGTCCGGGAGCGTCACACACCCCTATGGAGAGTAGCGCGGCCGGCTCCCTGCAATCCCTGGCTAGCTCCATGATAGCTATCGATGCTCGCCTCCAGGCTCTGGAAGACTCCGCCACAGGAGCTTCAACTTCCGTTGCACTCAGGTACTAGTTTTAACGAAAACGTTTGCACTCGACCTTACACAGGGTTGGGTTGTAACGGAATACATGTAACGGTGTTACGTAATCGGAAGAAAAAAGAAAGAAAAACAAAATCAGTATATTCAGCTGGCGTTACATTTGAAAAACGAGTAAACTGAGTGCAGTTACTTTCGTAAACCTGAAGTGAATACTTATTGGAATTATTGGTGGAAAGTTTCCTCACAATGTAATATTCATTACCAGCAGAACCGTGTGCACAGCGCTGCAGCGTATCTGCGAGCGAGAGATGCAGCGTGTCCGTGAGGCCCCGCCCCGCACGCAGATGAGAGAGAGAGAGAGAGTTCTCTTTCAAAACATATTGGAAGGTAGAAACGGAGATGTTTAGATAAAACGTGGAAGATAACGTTTATGTAGCATTTATTTATTGTCGAAATGATGACATTCATAACGGGATCAAATCTAACTGAATGGCCCTGCTGCTGCCGAATGCATGGGGCAAGTAACTGGGAAAAGTTTTAAAAGTGATTACATCGTTTCAGATAATAAATAATAATGATAATGTATTATATTTAGGGGCGCCTTTCAAAGCACCCAAGGACACCTTACAATGCATAAACTTTTCCAAGGAAAGGTTTTAAGACCGTACAAAGAATGCATTCTGGGTGAGTTTTTCTTTTTATGTGCAGTGCAGATGAGAGAGCTGTCAAGAATGACACTAAAATGTTGTGTTCGTGCTCTTCATAAGCCATTAAAACAGTAAAATACGTGTCTCCCGTTCACCAAAACATACCCATCTGTCATGGAAAAGAAAGTATTCTGAAGAGGAAAAGATAGAAGGAAAAGGAGAAAAGAAAAGATAAAAAGAAGAGGAGGGAGGAAGAAAAAGAAGAGGAAAGGAAGTATTCTAAAAGTAATCTGCCACCGGTACCGGCGGGATCGTGGTTAGTTTCCGATGCGCAGAAGAAAAATCTGGCCCACCCTATATTTTTACAGGCCCACCCTAAAGTAAATGTCTGCCTACGCTACTGGTCCGCACAGCAGCAACAACCAATCACATGGATCTCTTGCCCCCGACACACAAAGCAATAGCAATGTTAAAACTAAGTAAACTGGAAAAAAAAAAAAAAAAAAATCCCCAACAGGCGAAAACCTACCAGTTTCACCCACTGTCTCTGCCTCGCTCCTCTGGTTTGTATCCCGGTAGATGAACAGAGACTGATCATACAGCACCGGGCGATTCACTACCGCCATAATGAATTTTCCCTCACATTTTTGGAATATGAGGAATTACCTGCGTAGTCTCTCCCAACATACACGCGGTCTGATTGGCTAGCGCTCGTACCGGCAGATTTGCATAAACGGGATTTCATTGGCTGACGCTTCTGCGGAGGCGCCAAAAGTTGAACATTGCTCAACTTTTTGAAGCGAGCAACGCCAGCAAACGCTCCACGTCGCTTCCCAAAATACAGTTCTACTAAAAGTGACGTCACCCCATTCAAAGTGAATGGGCAGAAGCGTTTGGAAGCTGTAACGCACGCCACCGTGTGGACGGGCCGTCACAGTGGCTCTGCGCCAGAAACATCAACAAATAAATAAATAACTAAAAAAATAAATAAAAAAAAAACATTCTGGAATATCACCCCTCCACTCCCATTAACATCCCTCAGCTAGCAGCTGCGCTATCTACAGATTCCGTGTTTGTTGACTATCTCCCGTCAGGGCTCTCCCAAGGCTTCAGGGTAGGGGTCCTCCCATCTCCCACAGTGACTTTCGTAGCAAGAAACTTACAGTCAGCCGCTAAAGAACCCAACATAGTTTCCCAGCTCATCGACAAAGAACTTCTCAAAGGATATATAATCGGTCCTTTTAGCTCCTCCCCCTTCTCAGTGTTCCGTTCAAATCCCATCGGAATAGCCACACGTAAATAAAAGGCTGATTTTCGATCTGTCCGCTCCCTGCTCCGGCCCATTCTGCAGCGTCAATAGCATCATCCCTCCAGATCAGTTCTCCCTTCACCATGCCTCAGTGGATAATGCAATAAAGATGATCAAGTTCACAGGGCACGGAGCTCGGCTCTCCAAAGCGGACATTACCGATGCCTTCAAATCATCCCCATTCATCCGTCTCAGTGGAACTTGTTCGGTATTAAGTGGGAGTCCAAACTCTATCTTCGCGTTCGCCTGACCTTCGGGTGCAGAAGCAGCCCCTGCATCTTCAATTCCTTCTCGGAAGCGCTCTATTGGATCCTGCTGAACATCGTCAGAATCCCCTCCGTCCTTCACCTACCGGACGACTTCCTCCCCATAAACCCGCCACAGGACAGCTCAGGGATCTCACTGGCCAAGCTTAAACACTGCTTCAGGAGTGAGGTGTCCCTCTCTCCAAAGAGAAAACGTTAGGTCCCGTCACACGCTTAGAGTTCTTAGGCATCATCCTCGACTCCATAGACATGAAGGCGTCTCTCCCCTCAGACAAATCGCAGCGCATCCAGGACATCACCAAGTCATACTGCGAGCAACAAGTTATCACAAAACAACAGTCGCTCTCCCTTCTCGTACACCTCAACTTCGCCATGCACGTCATCCCCCAGGGGCGCTCGTTCATCTCCCGCCTCCTGGACGCAGCATCAGCGGTCGATAACCTCCATGACTGCGTTTTCTTAGACGAAGGCTGCCGCTCAGACCTTCGGTTCTGGTCCCTCCTGCTCGCCCACTGGAATGGAATTACTTTATTTTACGATGGCCTCGTGCGTTCCTCTGACTCAATGAGGTCTTCACGGATGCCGCCCATCCATGGGTTTTGGGGGGTTTCTTCCAGGGAGAGTGGTTCGCAGAGTCATGGCCCCGTCAATTTCTACCTCAAGCAAGTTCTCACTAAATCCAGCCTATCACCCATATCATACCCGGGGCATTCCTTCAGGATAGGTGCAGCCACCTCTGCTGCTAATCAAGGTCTCTCTACCTCATCCCTACAACAACTAGGACGGTGGTCCTCCTCCGCCTTCACAACCTTCATTCGTCCGGACATCAGCGCCGTACGGGCTTCCCAAGATCTCTCAGACCCTAACTATGGTAGTTATACATATAACTGGTGGTGGCTCAAACACATTCACAAGTATACATGTCTCACTAAGGTTCCCGATATTCAAAACTGCATTCCTGTCCTAATTCCGCGGGCCCCGCCCACAGGGAATAATGTCTCGTCTCACGCTGCAACCACATGTAACGGGCTTCATCTCCGGCACACAGGTATTTCATTCCCAGGCCTTGCTCAAACGTATC